CGGTGTCCATCTGCATCGGCATCAGCATTCTCATGATCCTCGCCTCGCCGGTCATCCTCCTCACGCTGCCCTGCCTCCTCACCAGTCGCTGTCGGCAGTGCTGCAGTCGAGGGGGAGGTGGTGATCGAGGAGGTCAACATCGAAATAATCACAACAACAACCACAAATCGAACCGGTCGACTGGGCAGCAGCGAAGAGGCGAGGCGACGGCGGTTTAATTTCAGCTTTTTCCGATGATCAAATCTCCCGATCTTTTCTTTTGAATGTGAAACCCATTTCTTTGCGTTTCCCATTTTTTCCTTTTCCCGTGTGTTCCTCCTCCTCCCACACGCCCACCGTTTTCACAACTCTCTCTCACAAACACACTTTTTCCTGATTCATTGATTCTAAGAGATTTTTATTACATGTTGAAGAAGAAGAAGAAGAAAGATATAATAATTACAAACTGCTGCTGCTGCGCTGCGCTAAATGGTATTACACTGTTTTGTGTCTGCTACTAGCGGCTGAAAAAAGAGGTGAAAAGCTCAAAGGCTACAAAACGACACACGGCTTTATAACACTCACAAAGACAAAAAATGAGTGTTCTGAAGAGAGAGGAGAAAATACTTGATGAAAAAATAATATTTCGAGACAATTGTGATCATCATCTTCTACCGAGGCTTCTCACAGAAGTACCTCTTTAGTTGGAGAAGAACTTCTTGAGGTTCTCCAGGAGGCGGACGTACTGGCTGTGCTCGTAGACGGTGGCGTACTCGACTAGGGCCTTGGCAAAGGCCTGGTCCACGCCGCGGTCCTCGAGGATGTTCATCAGCATGTCGTAGAGGGTGCCGTCGATGACGTCGCCCGTGATGGCGTAGTTGTTCTTCTCAAACTCGCCCTCGTACACGCTGATCTCGTTGATTTGAAAGTCGTCCTCCAGCTTCTCGCCCTGGTCGTCGACGGCCTCCTCCTCGGCGAGGTAGCTGCAATTGAGCCCCAAAATGGAGGCGCCCTTCTTAATTTCGATGGCAAAGTCGGGCTTGCAGACCATCTGACCGCTGCTGGGGTTCTCCCCATCTTCGGCTCCAGGGTTGGCCGAGTCCACCGAGTAGCTGACATTGGCCTTGATGGTGATCTCCTCGCCCTTGTAGGTCTTGCTCAGCGTCAGGTCGCTGCCGTCGGCGACCACCTTCCAGCCGCCGGGCAGTTTGGGCAGCGGGCCCGGCGCCGACTCCTTCTCCATTTCGATCTCCGAAGCGAGGTGCTCGGTGATCTCCGCCTCGGATTTGCGGTCAGAGCTGGAGGCGTTTGAGGCGAAGGTGGCTCGGGTGGGACTAAACTTCATTTGAGAGGTGGCGATCATCGAGGGTCGGGCGAGGTGGTGAAGATTCTGCTGCTTCAGGTGGTATTGCGTCAGGCGGCTGGTCGATGTCAGCACACGACGGCCCAGGCTGAGCACACTTCGGGAGAGGGTGGACATTTTAGTAGTGGTGGTGGTGGGGTGATGGAGTTGGCTGAAGGGATTAGCTGATGAAGCTCAAGAGTTCGGGAGTTTTAGAAACACAGCGAGAGAACTTGCGGCGAGGACGCGAGAAGACTGAAGAGAAGCGTGCGATTTTTGCGGCGTGCTTTTTTTTGCCTTTTCACTGAAAAAAATACAGCGTGGCCGACCGAAGCGCCATCTCTGGTGGGCGCCAGAGTTTGGTGCACCGCTGCCGCTGCTGCTGCAGTTTGCTTGGCAAATATTTCTTCTTTAGATTTCGAAATTGAATCTGCCGCCGTTTCTAAGAAGAATCCATTTGTCTTCTTTAATTGCGTTTCGAAGATGGATCCCCCTCTATTCTTTCTGGTGTTTCACCCCTAACATTTAGCGGATTTAGCATTTGCCTGGTATCCTTGGACTGCTGCTGCCGGTGCCCCAACGTCACCACCTTTACCGAACGCTGCTGCTGCTGCATAATGAAGCCATTAAATTGCAAATTAGTTGGGGGCTT